TGGAGTGGCAAAGCTTTGTTGCAATAGTAACTAATATTAGGGAACCGCGCGTAGCGCGGGTGGTAGAGGCCGGTGGCTGCCCTCCTACCGGCCAGTGTTCGAGTCTCACTCGGCACTGGTTTCCCACCGGGGATTTCCCCCCCACTTTCTCGTTGTAGGGACCTCATGCGCCTATGGACCACAAGGGTGCGTGCGTGTGTGTTTGGTTGTACATTTAGATGCTCTTGTACTACCAGATCTAAGGAATAAAAAAGTAACTAATATTATTAACTTTATATATTTATTCTATATTTTTTTATTTTTTGTTGTCACTCAGGTAACACGCAAATTTATCATTATTTTCCTATAATTTTCATTATCTCTTGTGAGTTGTTCTTTTAATTATATTGTACTAGTCTCTTGTGAGTTGTTGTCTGAAACTTTCCAAAAATTAGGGCACCTAAAATATAGCAACTCCCCTTAATTTTAACGAAGGTTTGGATCCTTTTGTTTAGAATCTTACTTAAGAATGGCACATGATAAAGGCGTTTTTTGTGGTTTGAGGGGATGGGGTGTTTGGTTTAATCCTTTACCAAGGATAAATTAACTAAAAGGATTCAAACGTAAAGTTTATTGTTTTTAGTAAACTAGAACCATCTAACAACTGTTCTTGGAATGTCACCATATACGAAGTTTTTATGGAGTTCTCTGCCACTTTGTTTTAGGAATCAGCCTCCACAAAGTGTCAACACTTGTTTGACGGTTGGTCTAAGATCGGGTCAGAGCAAAATACTTTGTTATTGGTATGAACCATTGTTGCTAGGCAGTATAGATGCAGAAAAACGAACTTTTAACTCATTTTTATATGATTTTGCAACATACATAAAAATAGCAAGATCTTAGAGAATCTTCGAGTCTTTCTTAAATTTACTCCCTAAATCATTATTTGGAGATCCATTTAAATAAACATTGCTCTCTATATTTTTCATCCTCCAACAACATCTTTATATCTTGTGTATAGTCTATAGAGCCCACCCCAATCTTCATCTTTGGCTGACAAGAAACTTAGAATAGAGGATGACAATATTTGGAGATCTAGTTAAAGATGTTGTTGGAGGGCATTTTTTTCACCAAAATCTCTATAAGCAAGGATATAGGGAGATTCTTGGAGCTCTTACAAATTCATTTATTTTCAAGGAATAACCAATAGTGTATTAAGTGTAGGGGCCCAAAAGCCTCTCTGTTCTGTTTTAATTTTTAATAAATGTAGCCTGTAGGGGGCCAAAAGCCCCTCCAGTTTCATAAAAAAATAGTGTGTTAAGTGTAAATATAAAGATGGCACAAAAATGTGATGCCAACGGCCATATAGTTATTTGCCACTCATGGAGTCATGGATGATCTTTTATCTATCGTATCCGATAATAATGTTACACTTTCTTGTTCGACCTTGTGACTTTGTTGTCATAAGCATGATCTAATATTTGTTTTAAAAGATGTATGAAGCTAAAGTGTTTTTCCATTATCTAAAAATGTGTTTTATGGAATTTTAGATAAAAAGAATTAATTTGTGCCTTGACTCCCGAAGTAAATAAACAACAAAAACTGTGTCATGCCGTAGAATAGATGCATGGACCTTCCTTTTATTGGGCCGTGGAATGGTAGATTTCTTCCAGGCGTACATGAGAGAAAGGAAACGGACTTGCACTAGCCTTTAGCCCAAGGCCCTGTAAGCATCTTCTGGGCCAGTGTAAGAATGGGCCCGGTCGAGCTCTCGGCAACGTTAAGCGAAAGAAAAAGGCTTATTAGACTAATTTGTCCTTGCTTCTCTTGGACAGTCGTGCTGCACCGCAGCTCCCGTGCACCACCGAGCGGCAGGCCGTCCATATATCTTTTTGTGCGAATCTCGATGTATGTTCCTGTGAGCCTGAACCAGCGCTGCGCGTCCTTTCCACGACTAACCATCTCTATTCCTTCGGCTGGTGGGTGCAAACACGTACTCCCTCCGTCCGAGTTTAATTACACGTCTGGAGTTTAAACTTTTTCCCAAATTAATCGATCACGTTGGCCTGAACATGATAGACACGTGCAGCAGCCGGAACCAACAGAGCAGCGCAGCACTAGATTTTTATTATTTTATTTCCTCTTTCCATGTACGGTCAAGGATGGCATATTAAAAAACAACAAGAAAACCCGATAGGGCTCTCGATTGTTCTCGTCCACTCGTTCATCCGTTCCCCACCAAGCTTCATCTGTGCGAGCGGACGCCTCGCTCCGTCCCCTTTACTCTCTCTCCCCTTCGCACACCCCCGCACCAACAGCAAGATCGATCTTTCCCTTCTCTGCAAGATCTCTCCCACCTGCGTAGGCATGGCTGCAGACGGCAGGATGCGCCGCCGTAGCAGGCGGATGCGTGGAGGTAGCAAGATGATGAGCCTGTCCCGGCGCCGTGGGAATAGGGGCTTGGCGAGGACACGGACACCGGCGCAGGCGAGGCGCGACTGGCGCTCGACGTTCCGGCCGACAGGAGCCACGGCAACGCCACCGGTGTGCTCGGGCGGCTAGAGCTCGTCCCCGTCGGCGTTGAAGATGGAGGCGGGGCATGGGCGATTGTGCGGTGGAGAGGGCTGTGCAGACACTTTTGGGCGTATTGGTATCTTACTGCATACAAGGACATATATAGTAATATATACCTTTTTTTCCATGGAGAGGATGCATTTACCTACAGGGTTTATATACGGGGTTGCTAGCTGGTGCGATCAATAAAACTACTATTGCTTAAATTTGAGACCGATAATTGAAAAGAGCTGCTCCAGTATATCTTTTCTAGAAAATTAACCATATCTTAAAGCAATCATGTAACTAACTAACAAATTTTTTACCCAATTGGGTCTTGTATGGGCCCGACCCTCCAAGCCCGCCCTGTGCTCACTCTTACCCAACCCTATCTTCAGCCTGTTCGGGAGGCCGTATCGTATTGTGGATTATTTACTGCTGGCTGGTTTGATGTGAGAGAAAAACACTGTTCCCGGCTGAAAATTTACGATCGTTTACGAGCAAGCGAACGGGCTGCTTATCCTCGTTTTCGATCCATTTTGTTTGCTCGATTTCATTTTGCCGTGAACTACCGAGCAGACACGACAGTAGTTGACAGTTCTTTCCCTAGTCAGCTCTCCAGCGCGAGCACGTCAACCTAGGGTCTATTTGTTTGACTGGACGGTTTTGGCTCGTTCGGTTGAGCTCGGCTAGGGCAGAACAAGGCTTGTCCAATAGGTGCAACTTACTGTGTTTGTTTATATTTCCCTGGAGAGCCAGACTAGTAGATAGGGATTATTTGTTTGCCTGCACAGCTAGATGCGATCACTTCGACTAGCATGTGGTAGAGTTACCACCCAGGTATTTCTCTTTTCTTCTTCTAGATGTTTCACCAAACAGGTTGAACGCCGTCCACCAAGAAGCAGATCGCAGCCTATCTCTCCCAGATCCAGTGTGGCGGTCACGTTTGGCCCTACGAATGCACGCTCACCATCGTCGACTTCTCCTTCCTCTTCGCCTTCTCCGAGAACGTCGCCGACCCGCTCGACCTGTCGCCGCACCACTCGCTCGACTTCGCGCCTCCCCGCCCCGTCTCCTTGGGTGCTGACCTGCGCCTCCTCTTCTCGCACGGGCGAGGGAGGGAGAGGAGGAGGTGGCGGGGGCGTCGTGGCGTGGATCTCGTCGTCAGCGCGGCACGTGAGCGCTCGACCTCGGCGTCCTGCGCACGGAGCTTGGCCTCTAGCTTGCGCGCCGTGATGTCGTAGGTTCAGAGGAGGTGGCGCTACTCGTTGGCGTGCGCCTCGAGGGCGGCGGTGCTCCTTGCCGCGACGGCCCGGGTCCCTGGTGTACCGCCAGCGACAGTGCGCACGGCGTCCGTTCTGGCACCCACGACGAAAAGGCAGGCTTCAGAAGAAGGGCAACGAAGAAAAGGAACACCAGAGGTCACGGCAATCATTCTCGTGTGTCCCTCTCAGCCTACACCGTGAGAAATGAAAATTTGACTTTGTTTCCCCAGCTGCAGCCCGCGCGTGCCGCGGTCCAGACAAACAAAGACGTCCCTAGTGGATTCAGCGTGCATGGCCTTCACCCTGGTGACAATGTTAATTAACAAGTGGCGATGATAGGGAGAGGACGTCCTTTAACTTTGTTTTTTTTTTCAAGGTCGCTTTGTTGTTTTTTCATTACATCATGTAATGATCTAACGAATTTATCCATACTAAGTAAAGAGTAAATGCTCCTCTCGAACTTAAGTCCTGGCTTCGTCACTAAACGTTAATATTAACATACTCCTATATTTCTTGATTAAGTCGGCTCTTCTGTTTATTTCCAGTTTGCGTGGTAGCTCAAATGTCACGTGCGATGTCATACGTTTTAGCTGAAGTAGTATGTAGGTACGCCCCACACGTCTATATATATATATACTACTGCGAGTCGTACTGATGGACATATATATAGTTGTAGGCTGGAAGACATTTGACCAAACCTCCCTTCACATTCATATTTTTGCGACGGAGAGACTTTCCCTTACACGCATCCAGGGTAATATAATGGCCCAGCGGTAATACAGCCGTACCTGCTGGTGCGGCGATCTGATTTGTCCACATCGCGTTGATCCCCAGTCGCCTCGCCACTTTTATACTACTCGCCTCGCCGAGGACACCACTGGCGTTGGATAATGGATCAGCGATAATAAACCGAGCGAGTCCAACCGCAATCCCCTGTCATCACGCTTTCACGCCCCAGCCTCCTCCCATCCCTCCTGCGCTGCCGGTGCGGTGCATGCCCGCTCTCCCCGTTGACGTGCACCTGCACTCCTCGCCGGCGCGCCACAGGCCGCAGCCATATTATTCTCTCCCTCCGCCCTCCACTGCTACTCCCGCCACGGCTGGCCAGACGCCACGTGCGGCGGCGGCATTGGTGTTGACGTGCAGTGTGCAGCCGCCATTGGCAGGTCCAAAGTCGTCTGAGATAGTATGGTCCGGGGCGTGATGAGGCCGGCGGGCGGCGGGCTGGTCTGTCCGTGGCTCCTCATCGCCGTCCTCGTACACTCCTCCTTCCTCGCCTCCACTGTCTTCACGGCGGTCGACGCCGCCCGCACGTCGACGTTCGTGGTGACGACGACGGCCCCGCTGCCGATGGCTCCAGCACCATCGCCCGCCGACAACATGCTCGGGGAAAGCAAGAGGAAAGTGCCCACAGGTTCCAACCCATTGCACAACAGATGACGCGAGATCGATCAGCAGGACATGACCCGTACGTTGGAGCAGAGATGGCGGATGCGCTGGAGGTACGGTGCTCTTCGTGAGTGAGCAGACAAGCAAGCAGCCAAAGGTGAATGAGATTGCGAGGGATGGTTGACTGCGATGCCTGGCGCGACGACTGCCGTAAGCTTCTGATTCTGCTTCTTTTCTTCCTCCGCGTTTTTGTCTATTTTGTTGGTCAGATTGGGCCGGGGCTCCGAGTGAGGAGAAAGGAAGCTGAATGAGAAGGGTTACGTGCTTTTGTGCATTCAGATTCAGATAGGTGTTCGAACTTAGGCAGGAGTAGCTTGGTAGAAGCTCTTATTGTTTTTTTTTTCTTTCAGTTTGGCATGCATGCTGAATGCTTCATCAAGTAAAAAGCGATCATGTACTCATTTGTTACTCCAGAGAGGAATATGTTCATTGTGTATTTGTTGTCACTGCGCTGACTGCTGAGGGGTCATTTCATTTTTCACTAGCTCTTCTAAAGGTAAAACGAGTAAACATGGTCAGTAGGGCAAGCACTTCTGAAGTTCTGAAGTCTGAACCTAAGGCCTTATTCATTTATCTTATAATCTATCTTTTTCAGCTTGTTTTTTCAGTCGGAACAGTATTTTTCTCTCTAACAAATCAGCCGGAACAATATTTCGGCTTGTTTTTTCAGCGAAGTGAACGGGGCTGAAAAAAGTTTTAGAGCTATGTATTAATAGTGAAGAGCTAACCACTATATGAGTAGGCTGAAAAAAAAGCTTAAAAGTCTTAGAGCAAGTTCAATAAGCTTGGCTTTAAGCCAAGCCATGTCATTTAGAGACAAGCTTTGCAGACAAATGATACAACAATTTGTCTCCTCTTACGGTTAAAATATTCCTTCTTTTATTAAGTGGATCCTACATGTCACTATTTTTTCTTTACATGTTCATCCTTATCCTCTTTCTTCTTGGCAAGTTCCTGGTGGATGAACACGCCGAGCAAGCTCACCGTTGGCTGGAGGCCACCGCTCACTTGCCCAAGAACCGACGAGCACATCGCCGGCTCGCTCTCAGGTACCGAGCTCGCTGTCAGCCATGGTCACGAGCTCGTATGCCCTGGCCCCTTCACCTCGCTATGCCTGTCTTGGCTCGCACACGGTCGCCGCGGCGTCGGCGGCTGGAGCAGCAGCAAGCAGCCGCCAGAGGCACAGCGAGTCGCGCAGATGGAGGTAGCCGGCGCACAAAACCTGCAAGCGGCGGCCTGCAGGCGTCGCGAAGCCGACCCTGTGGGCGGCCGACGACGGCGGCGCGAAGCTGGCCAGTGGCGGGCGAGCGACGAGCTGTGTCGCGGACAACGACGGCCGGCGAGCCTACGGCCTGCGCGCGGCTGTCATTCATTCTAGAGTACGGGTCACGGAAGTGGTGGCGGGCCCCGCAAAGCTCGGGAACAGGGCTAGCGCTCGGCGCCAGATCTTGCTACAAGCAGCTAGGTTATTCGATTTTCACTCTCATCCACGTGGCTCGGCTCTAACACAAGGTGAGGTGTCTTATTGTACTTGCTCTTATATTGGCCTTCCTCAGAGGCCTTGTCTAAGGTGTAAAGTTTGGGGGTGTCGTATCGAGTGTCATGTGGGGATGTCGCATAGATGTTCGGATACTAATAAAAAAATAAATTACAGACCGCGAGACGAATTTATTAAGCCTAATTAATCCGTCATTAGCATATGTGTTACTATAGTACTTTATTGTCAAATCATAGACTAATTAGGCTTAAAAGATTTGTCTCCTAAAGTAGTCGCAATCTATGCAATTAATTTTTTTTATTTATATTTAATACTCTATACATGTGTCTAAATATTTGATGAGATATGATATAAATTGTTAGGAAGGAAAATTTGCTAGCCCACGCACGTGTCTGAGCCTGACCTGCTGCGTGCCACCGTACCGACGACGACTTAAGTTAATGTGCCTAATAATGCAAGTCCACTACTCCCGTAGTTTCACTGGGTCTAGGTGGACCTGGCTTCTATTCATATGCATGACCCAGTTGCATATCCAAGGATATAATTAAGTTCGGCGAATTTCAAGGACAATTAGTTTACTGTCATATATATCTAGCTAGACTCTAGTGGCAGTCATTCGGACGTTTTCCTTCCGAGTTGACAAAGCAGCCTCAGACAAGGTCATGGAGTTCAGTAAAAGATAGATCTTGATTCACAAAGCAGTTTCAGACAACGTCATGGTTTTCAGTAAAATATAGGTCTTGAATCACGAAGCAACTTCGGACAACGTCGTAGATTTACTAAAAGATACTCTCTCCATTTTGATAATTCAACTCGTTTTTTTACAGCAACACGGTCTTCGAAACATAATTTTGACTTCTTATTTTTATAAACAAATATTTATTAGAAAATGATATATGTATATTGTTATGAAAGTCCTTTTTAAGATAAATCTATTCGTATGGTTTGGCTTCAATTGACCTGATGGCTTCCGGTGTAGAGTATGCTAAATTTTTTGTTTTATGGTCCGTTGGACTGCTGTTGCTTTGGGGTACGCTAGCAGTAGTAGTGCACTGCTGCAGGCATTCATGGAGGTTTGTGGGTGTCAGTGACCTTCTTTTCCGTGAAAAATGACGGAACACTCGCTCGTTGCAGCGCACCGCCATCCAAAACAGTCCAAGACAAGAGCACTAGCTACGACGTTATGACCACGGAATTCTACTGTGCTACAGTACAGTAGAGGTGGTTCAAACGCGCGCGGCCCTCAGTTTAGAAACACACGAAAGTACATAGATTCGCACACCAAATTACAGATTCCAAATAATGCTAGCTCTCAGTGGGAAAATTAACCTGTTTCAAATGCAAGCGAGAACTGTACTGATGGCTGATGCTAGCTGCACGCAGGCGCCAGGCAAGCTCCTTGTTTTGAGCGAATATATACAATTCCGTTTCCGTCGCTGAAACGGAGCCGTGCATCGTCGTGGGATTCATAGGCGACCTGGGCATCTTCCTCTTGGAAGTTTACTACTCCTCCAACTACTACCAGTACAAGTTTAGTAGCTAGCGGAGCATGCATGTGTGTGCGGTTGCGCAGCTTAACGCACAAGGCGCCGGAAAAGGTGCCCTCATGTTCTCCGCTCCCTGCCTCCATTTGACCATTTTATACCCGCTTTCTCTGCACTAACCACGACGCACGCCCTATGTTTCACCGATGCATGCATTCGTCCAAGCCACGAGGTCATCACCACCCTGTATCTCATTCTCATTGGGAGATTGTGGATTAGTTTAATCCGAGGTCAAAATAAGCAGGCCTGCATAGGGGAGGGGTGCTCTCACTTTTTTACTGGTCACAGTTAATCTGCTGATGGCAGTAACTCCTAATTAAGGACAGGTACATTGCTACACATCGCTGGTCTTTGATGATTTGGAAGGGAGAGAAAGAAGAGAGAGGCAAGCCGTTGCCTGGCGAAACAACGAGCTCATCCACGTTTTTTTTTTCGCTCGATGAGACGACTCTTTCTTCATTGTACGTCCTGGTCGCTGTTTCGTGAATCGCTTTTTTCTCTTTCCTGGATTCGCTGCACGGCATGCACCAAATGTCTCTGGTCCCGCGTGCCTCTGACAGTTCAATGAAAAAAAAAAAAGGAATGGTACGTATTCAATGTTTCCGAGAAAATTACATTAATGACTACAGATTAGCTTTGCTTGTCATACGAAAACCATCTATTACTTGTGATTAGACAGCACAAATGTACTTGTCCTAACAAGAACAAGATTGTTAGTACTACTTTTAGGGGAGGACGGAAGAGGAGTACTCTGTATATGGACGTGATGTTTACATGCAGCACGTGCTACCAAGCAGATGTACTACGTACTGAGAATTATTAGTAAGCGCTCGTGATCGTGCCGATATTTGGCTGGCCGTGTGGTCTTGCTTGCGCATGTGGCCGGTAACAAACAGCTCTGTTTCGACTTTCGACGAGACGCGACTGGGGCCTTGTTTAGATCCTATCAAAACTTGCGCACGTGGGCGTACGTTTTTTTACTCTCTATGTCACACAAATTAATTTTTACTCATAGTATATACTCCAGGAGAACTGTTAAATGTAGATAAAAAAAATAATTAATTACAGTAATTGGTTGAAAATGAGATTTTTGAATCTTTGGTTCCAACCTCCTTTTAGTCTACGATTGAAATATTTAAAGTATTAACCAAATAATTGAGACGAAAATGGTAATTATTTATCGATTTGAAAAAATGTTTCAATCTAATTAATTGAAGACTGGGTAAAGGTAACAGAGAACAGAAATTTTTTGAACCACAGCAACCTATAACAACTAACTGTGCGCACGTGGGCGTACGTCGCGTCATGTTTACTCAAGGTTTATGTTTGGTTATTACAAATTGAGGAATCGCATACTCATAGTATATACTCCAGGAGAACTATGTATACTGGCTGCCATGTAGGACTAGTGCGGTCTAATACTCTACGTAATCTGTAGTTTGTACAGTACGTACTACCTGCCACATACAGTTAGTTTTTAGGGGATGTTTGGTTCTAACCTCCTAAAATTTAGTCCCTATCACATCGACTACAGTAAATATGTTTGACACTATTTGAAGTGTTAAACATAGATTAATTATAAAACTAATTATACAGATTGAGACTAATTTGTAAGATCAATCTATTAAGCCTAATTAGTCCATGATTTGATAATATAATGCTACAGTGCATGAGCTAATAATAGATTAATTAGACTTAATAGATTTATCTCCATGCATGGAAGTCACGTTTACCAGCTATAATTTAGTTTTATTATTAATATTTAAAAAAATGAAAAATGACAATATATATGACATCATCCGATGCGTTCGTCTCTTGGCATCCCTGTAATAGTCCTTACATGTGTGTTTGCAGAGTGGTACAACAGAATACTATGCTGCTTTTTCAACAAATGTCTTCTCGGCAGATCACATCAAATATTTGGACGATATGCATAGAGTATTAAAATA